AAATTAAGAATATTTATAAAAATCACAATATATATTTCAAATTAAAAATAAGAAAGATACCTAATCAGGGGTTGGTTTGGTGACAGAAACAATATTATCAATTTTACTATTTTAATAATGAATTTAACTTTATTTCACAAATTAACGTATATTTATATATTATGTCGCGGCCGAAGTCAGTAAGGAACTGTCTCTTAAGTTTCTTCTTGGGTTACACATACAGAAGTATTACTTAAATTTTAAATTAAAATCATAATGACGGATATTGCATATCCAATGCAATTGATATTTTTATTTTGTTTTGTTTAGTTATTTTTAAATTTTTATATTTTTTAATCTTTTTATATTATATTTAGTTTTTAATTTACTTCGCTTAATGTACTTCCCCATGAATTTTGTTTTCTCTTAGTATTTTGTAAACTGATGATTTTGGTACACCCGTATAATCAGAGCACATATCAACTAATTTATCTTTTGTAATTGTGGAAGTTAATGATGTTGGAACGCCCGGTTGGTTATTCGGAGGTACATCCGTAGAATTACAGCACATATGCACTAAGTTATCTTTTGGTCGCTGATGATCTCTTTCAAGACAGTGAAATACTCGAAGTACAATTTGTTTTTCACTTAGCGACCGAGACTTCGACCGTTTTACCTTTTTCGACGTTGAATGCCCTTCAATGTCTTCCATTTTTTGCATAGTTTTAGAACGGTGTAGAAATATTATTATTTAATGTTTAAACACTTATTAGCACTAATATTTTCACCAATTGTTCTTACAACACGTCGATTACTTACTAACTTAACTGTAAAACTTACAATTCACACCGTATAATTCAAAACCCGATGTTACGCTCGTGGTTAGAAGTACACTACTGAGAGCGTCATCGACGAGATGGATTTTACGCGTAACAGACAAAGACACAAATATCGCTCCGTACACCGATGCCATTGGTTGTAACAAAAACTGAACAATCCATAAAATAATTAATTTTAAATGATCAAGAAATGTATAAGTATTACTCATTACTGATTTTTGTTATAATTAATATCTTTTATTAGTACTATGATTGTATATTATCTATAATTTGCCACAACTTACAACTCTACTACTTACTCTATTTTGATTCTGCTAAAAACTAGTAAGGTAAAATTGAGATATGACAACACGGTTCACTCTCAATCATTATTTGTTTGAGTATAGTTTAAAATATAATTTTAGCATATCTCAAGAAAAAGTCCGCAAAACAATATTTAATGAGTACAATAATAATAAATTCCAACAATTGATATCTACGGTGGATTGGAATTCTGTATTAACTAATGCGGACTTCATACACATTTATTTAACTCTGCTTATTCTGAAAGAACTGTTGAAGGTAAAAACCGGAAAATGTGGGTTACTAGGGGTCTAAGAATATCAGCAAAAAATATAAAATAACATTGGCTCATGAGCTGCTAAAGTGGGGAGGGGGGCGCCAATTGGCTTGAGGGTGGGGATTATATAACATTTGTTATTTAGTTTGTATTTTTTCATTAACATAGAAAAAATACCACCTGCGCCTTGTCAATAGTTAATAAACAAAATTAAATATATTTTTTATAGTAAAACAAACAAAAATAATTATTCTTAAAAAACAAACTTGAAAATCGACATATTTATATTGTTTTTAATTTTTGTTTTTACGATTGTTCATGTCATGTATCATATCCTGAAATTGAAATCTGCTGTACGATCCCTTATTGAAATAAAATTTTCCATAACTTTTTCGTCGAAAATATTTATCTCCAGAACTAAATTTCTATTTATTGATATCATAGGCGTTTAGTCAATCATTTAGCATGGTGCTTCGTAAAATTCCGTGAAAATTATAAAACAACTTTAAAAAATCAAAACAGTCTCCTACTTCATCATCTAAAATCTAAATGCTGGTCCGTCACGAAAGAATTGCACCCTAATCTGCACTAAAACAGCCGACTGCAAGACGTACTCGTTAGCGCGTGCATCACTACGTTTCCATGGTGACGCGGGCCTCAATCTTACTGCGGCCGTCTATAGTCCAGTCAAAGAGCTCATAAATTGTTGTTATAGAAAGAATTTTGAGTGGACATACTAAATAACACTCATAGCATGTGTAGAGACGATAGGAAAAATTATAAAATAAATAATATGTTTAATTAGGATTTTATTCTCTGGTATCTGTGGTATTTTTGAGGAGGGATGCGCGGCCATGCGGCCTTAAAGAGTAGCAGACCCTGGTTGAGGATGATAAACAACATGGTATTTAAAATATTTTGATAGTTACCGTTCTATCTATAGATCTATCGAGGAGTAAACCTCGGTGAAATTACTGGAATTGTAACTGGAAATGTTGGATTTTTTTTGGAATTGTATCTGAAAATAACATTGATTTTATTAATAAATTTAATGATATTGAAAGCAATAGGGAAATTGATGCAAACAATGCATATGCAACAATAATTGCTAAATTATTGGATTTCAATGCCTATTATTAATAGTTTTGAACCTAATTAGCTTGCTTATCCATCTAGAGAAGTGTACGAGATACTAACTGACTTAGCTAAGAAATATATATTTTTTAAATTCAATCCTTAGGTCTGCTGTATTTAGCATAACTATAAAATATGCCAATAAAACTATTTGAATTTGAATTATAATCTTAATTTTAATTCACATACCTAAGTATCAGATTAAGTAAACTTTTAAAACACTTCAGATGCTACATTTTATTTTCCAAAGAAATTATATTTGGAGCTAAATGAAAAGTCAATTTCTGCAGCTACATTGATGTGATTTATTTAAATGTTCAACTGTGTAAATCACAGAATATTATTAAGTAAATTGAAAACATATGGTTTAATGGTTGAAATCTTAATTGTCAAACAGATTTTAAAGTGTTGATTGGTGTACCTCAAGGATCTGTTCTGGGGCTGCTATTTTTTTTTGTACAATAATAATATTAATATTAATGGATTATTTATTATTTTTTCTAATGATAAGACCATAATGTGACACGACAAAAATGAAGATAATTTAGCTAACAAAATTAGTACTGTTATTATTTTAATAAAACAAGTGTGTGGTTTTAACCTATTAGAATGGAAAAACTTGTGGCTACCAACATTGCAAAAATATGTTGAATATTGTAGACTAATTATTAAAGAAAAATAAAGTACCAGCCTGCATTTAATAAAGTTATACATTTCAGAGAGTTTTATCCGCTTTAATATCACAATAACATTTTTTTTTTATTTATTTATAAATAAAATATGGTGTCTCCCATGATAGTCGTCATAAAAAAATCAATCAGCGACCGTTCGTTGCTTTCGACAAGGAGAATCGATTTCGCTACAAGGGTTTTAAATCAAATTTAAAGACCGCCCATGTCTGGGCTGAGAAATTCAAAATAGAGTCTCGGTTCGGGACGAGACAAACAAGAACAACGTGTACTCTATATCCATCGACGCTACTTTAAACCTTTTAACTCTCGGGTAATATAGTGTTATGATAAAACACCCTCGAAGAAAGAGATCCTGACAACATAAATAAAGCAACTTCGGGTTTGTTTGGACGACGGGACTCACAAATATCTTAGTGGGCCGTTTGTTATAGTACGAAAGACGTTCTTGAAATAGCGAAGTGAAACTACTTACTTCATTCTCCAGTCGTTCCAGACGGAACCGGGAAGGATTTATTGGCATTGTGTAGGTGGATTTTTAACCCAGCTTTGTTATATATTCAACTACCAACTATTTTGTCGCATTTTAGAATAGATTTAAAAGAATAAAAATTTTAGTTGACACTTTGTGTCCAAAAATATATGACCAATGACCTTCGTATTTTTGTTTCCCCTACTTAGTCATGAAAGGAATGCTGATAAAGCTTTAATACTATCACCCGGTTCCAAGAACGCGTGTTAAATCTCTATAATGTTTAAATTCTCAAGCTCTGTCAACTTTTATTAGACTCATAAATTTTCGTTTATCGTTTTTCTATAGCTGCTGCTTTCAATCAGAAAAAACATATTATGGAAGTTTCTAAATACTCCCAAACAGTATTTTTCACTTTTAAATATGAAAAAACCAAAACCTAAGATTATTTTTAATAAAAAAAATATCGCAGGGTCTTAAATCTGGGTTACTCGGTGGATGTGGCAGTTCAGTGTATCCACATTCTTCGGTTACGATTTAAAGTGTGCACATATTGTGTATGAAGAAGCATATATTTTTGTTTCAATGAATACTGTTTTCCCATATACCTCTTCATTAATTATTGTATTTCACCAACTACTACACAAGAAAACACCTTCGACATCCAGTGGCGGCTCGTGCCTTAGCACATAGGTGGAGCCACGGATTAACATTTTCGGGTGCCTAGCCCAGATTTTGACTCGAAGTTGTTAAAAAGCATATCTTGGGTAATATTTTAAAGTATATTAACGTGCGCATTTATCATTTTTACAAATAATAAATAACATAAAACATATTTTACATTGAACGATATTTGAAGTCTAGTCTTCGTTCTGTTTTATTAGCGAAAAGGTCAATCACTCGTCTCTTCAGAAACACTTTTTCAGCTGAAAACATTCCTAGCGCACTTAGTCTTTCTTCTTTCATTGAGTTGCGTAAAAAAGTTTTTATCCTTTTTAACATAGAGAAACATCTTTCAGCTTCGGATGTTGACATATATGTTGTCACTAAAACTTCCAGTAATTTAATAGTTTCTTGAAAAGTGTACTTCATATCTTCCGGCGAAATTAATGATAACAGAGGAATGGCTCCAGAAATGGTTCGCAACTCTTCTCTTTCGTAAAGTACTTGCAGTTCTGTTTTTAGACGATTTTTTCTAGAAATTGATATGCGTTAACTGTATCAGAGAGCAATTGATCAGGAAAGTTTTTTTGGTATTCGATAAAATGTTTTTTAATGAATAATGCGGTAGCTATCAGATGTCCTGTGAAAGTGAATCATGTCTTAATCTATTGTATAATGGAATCGCAAACTTCTATTTTTCTATTTGTTGAAACAGATAGATCGGAACCAGGGTAACGTCGCCTTTTCTGAGGAACAAGTTCATCTTCGGTTTCTAAAAGCTCCGAGTCTATTTTGTCAATATTTTTATCCATTTCATTACTAATTTTTTGCATTGAATTTTCAAAGTTTTTTAGATCTTGTTTAGCCTTGATAGGGTCGGTATTAATCGTCTGCAGTTGCTTAAAAATTATTTCGACATGTGGCATGACTTTATGAAAAACTGTTAACCAAAATATGAAATCTCTATCCTGTATTCTAAGTTTATAAGCACCAGCTTGCTTAATCGTAGAATTTAATTTAATATCTTTGTCGTTCTCTAAAATATCTATAACGTGTATCAGTTCATTTCGGTATTCATAAACTGTATTAACTCCCCGTGATTGGAAATTCCATCTCGTTTGTGATGAACGTGGTAATCGTCTATGAACTATATCATCCAATACTTTTGTTCTTTGAGGTGATGTAGAAAAAAAAGCACAAATTCCAGTTAAATGAGCGAAAAAAATCCGAATGCACGCATTAATTGAACCTGCACTGCTCATTATAAGGTTAATCTGATGTGCATAACAATGAACATAATTTGCTAAAGAATATTTATCTTTAATTATTTTTGTACCCCATTCATACCTCCGCTCATGACTGACGCTCCGTCGTAACTCTGCGTGATCAACTTATTTGGTGTGTCATTAATTAATGGATTAATTTCATTTAAAATGCAATTTGCTATTGAAATGGCATTGTGTCCGGGAGGATTTACAAATTTCCAAAATCTTTCTACTGGCTTACTAGAGGCAGTGTATCGTAGAATAATGACCAATTGAAATTCGTTAGCAGCATTGGTAGTTTCGTCAGCAATTACAGCTACATAATTCGTTTTTTTTTATTTCTTTAGCCACTTCTTCATGGTAAACGCCAAGCATGCAGTTCAATAGTTCGTTCTGTATGGTCTTAGAGGTCCCTTTCAATACTGTTGCTTTGTTGAAATGTTCCTTTAAATCTGCATCTAATTCAGAACTAAAATCTATCAATTCTCGGAACACTCCTTTATTTTTGGATTCTTCAGTTTCATCATGTCCGCGCAATGCTAATTCTAATGCAACTCAAACTCTAAATACAGTTAATAATTATGTTTAAAATATATCTATTTTTATCAACTTGTTTATTGTGGGTAATAATATTTTGTCTATAAGCCGAATTTAATTGAGTCAGTATATTTGATTTTCCAAGGAAATAACTAAAAATATTATTTACATGGGCCTTACTGTTTTCATGTGTTTTAATTTTCTCATAAATCTGTACCAAATCAGTTACACCATGCATCGCCCACGAAGAATCGCCCCCGAACAAAACACACACAAAACAAAAATGCGTTTTTTTTTTCATCACATCCACAAATCCAGTTATTTTTTAAGTACAAATTCCGGTTAAACTTTCTTATCCGGCCTTTAAAGTTTGACGAACTTGAGGTGGAAGCCTTCTGCGTTTTTGTTATTTTAAAATCGGGAAGAGGTCTCCTAAGTTCCTTTATTTGGATTTTTCCTCGAGCGAGTGCGTAGAAAAAAGGTTTCAGTAACAGATTGCTTATTTTATTCATTTTGCTTCGGACTCTCGGACGATTTTTAATTTATTTTACTTTAAAAATTCAACTATTCTAACTAATTACCTAACAAACAAAAATCCAGCACGCATAAAATGGCAAAAGCAATACGCCGAACTCGCCGAACACGCGATTGAAACAATACTATTCTAACTATTTATTCCGAGCCGCTTGAAACGTGGCCCCGTTTGAATGTATAAGAAGCGCTTTCTACAGGCGAATGGCGTGACCTTTAGCGAACTTTTACAATGGATTGATATGCAAGCAGCCGGGCCATTGGTCGATGTCAAATTAAATAATGGTAAATAATTTATATAATGTATCGTTTAGCCATAATTTGATCCGACAATTGTAATAATTATTGTAATTAATATAAAAAGAAATATTTTTAGAGACCGAAATATTTACAAATTTTGCGCCAGTGCCAAGGCCTTTTGGCCCCTTAGGACAAGCCGCCACTGTCGAAGTCCAAAATCATCATTGTCATCAATTGGCCTTCTTTGGTGATATAGAACATCCATTGCATGGATTTACCCACTTGATTATCATTTAATAAATTTTCTGGTAAAAAAATAGAAAGTTTGAAACAGAAATTAAGTAATTTTTAAAAGACCGCCATACTTCGAGAAAGTTGGGTAGATACATGATTTTTCTTTATTTGAAAAAATTACGAAAAAAAAAAATTGTTCCTTTATAAATAATCATTTCGGCTTTCCATGTTTTTTCAGGTACCTTGTACCTAATTAAGCACATGCAAATGTTTTAATTGTTTCTTAATATTGGATATAAACTACAATCAAACTTTCGTATTTTGTCATTGATATAGATTTAAAAAAAAAAACTAATCAACACGTGTTGATACTTCGAAGAAGAAAATATGCAGGTAACCTAAATATACATTGTGTACGTTTTCGTTGAATAATTCAAATTCTAAAAGTACCCATTGATTGCACTTTTATTGAATAAATTTCACTTAATGAACGACTAATTAATGTTTTGCATGTGTCTCAATATATATCTGAAAACAAATCTATTAAAATAGAATGTAAAAAAGAAGTACAAACATAAAACTATTTGATTTTTTTAATCATTGGGCAACAAGTTATTATCTATGTAATTTGTAGTTGATAAATTGAGTTTAAAGTTCTAAACGATATTGTTTTCTGCTTATAATTAGTGGCTACTCGTTAGTTTAAAAAAAATCATTAATTACTTTCAAATTATACAAATTTAACCGTGTTAAATTATAGTAATTTTTGAATACATGCATGCAAACTAATTTGCGAAGGGCAATTCTTCCCATGAAAGTACTTACCATAAATAGTTTTTTTTTTGTAAGTACCGATGTAAAGTAGAAAAATAAGTATTAAATTTTAAATATATATATATTTTAGCATGGCACTGAAACCTTCCATTCGACTAAATCTTTGTTGTTAGATGTATTTTTGTATTTTTACTGATTTCGTTCAAATTCTATTATAAAAAAAGCACATTTAGTAAGTTAATCAAATTATAATTTAATCAACAATAGAGTATCAATGATTTTCTTGAATTATTTCAACTGACAGAGAAAAGGAAAATGTTATTTGTTGCTGAACATTTTTTAGTTTTTTGGTAAATCGTATCTCTAACTTGTGAGATAGTGATAACACACATGTCATGTGAAACCGCATGTTTTTATCTTAGTTTTAAAGTTAAAATCAGTTAAAATATCGGAAAATATAATGAAACAACCGGTATTAAATATAAATAATAATTATTTATTGGAAATCAATGGCGTAAAAAAAGTCCGTTATTACATAATATGACGGTACTCGTAAAATATTCCATCATTCGGAATTAAATATTAGCATTTCAAATTATCTGTTAATTATAGGGAATAATATGAATTTATCGTTGAAACATAAATTTCTGACGATAATTATGTCGATAATTTGAAAATTTTACTAGCACTAGCTGTAAGTCCTAATTATTTAATTGACCTATCATATTACTAAGCGGGAAACTTTAATAATTAATTCAACTATAATCCATTGTTTGTATTAATGTTTGACCTCGGTTTTGACCTTTAATAACAATCGAAAAAAATTGTTTGTAAATGCAATTCAAAATTTTCTTTGATTCATGTTGCCTTAAATAACAAAAAATGATAAGCAAAATAATATAATTTTTGTATTTTTATAAGCACATCGGTAATATAAATCAGAAAATAACACGTGATTTTATTATTGGTTCTAGAGACGTTCAAGTAAAACGTTTGAGAATAAATTGAACCAAGTCCTGGAACTACAAATTTTATTTGTAAATAAACAGTACAATCCTTTCTAACTTGGTATAAAAATTACAGGCGCGTGGTTGCCTTGCCCAAGGTGAAAAATAAATTCCAAGCGATTAATCAATTTAGAATGTTAACGTTGTACTAGGTCAGGTATAGGATTTGTGAGTCACGTTCAAATTATAAATTTTAGATTTACAGTTGTGTTGAATTGAACTGAAAGCTTCTAATAAAAATAGTTCCAATGTTATTAAGATGCTTTATGAATACTTTCATGTAAATTTTTATTTAAAAGTTGTATAAGATGATAGGTGAATCAGCTATTGAACAATTTACCATAATAGGTATTAAAAAATAGTAATTTGTTCAACAAGAGTAGATATGGACAATTCACTCGAGTTGTACAGTATATTTTTTCTACGACCCACTGACGAAAATTTACAAATTTTAAAAATTATTTTAGTTTAGGTTAGACAAAATACTTAACTAATTTTAAAATAAAATAAACATGAAAAAAAAAAAGATTTAATTTAATTAGGCCCATATTCGAATCCGGGCCTCTAACGTGAAAGACAGATATCATCGACTCCACCTCCACATTTAGGAATTTAATTTTAATACTCGTAATTAAATTAGTTCATATAGTTTGATTCAAATTTAAGATTTAAGATTTTTTTTAAAAATGTGGACCAAATAAAAATGCTAGGTATTATTTATCGATTCTACATAAAAGTAACCCATTTTAATATATATTTAATCTCAATGTCTAAAAAATATACTGACAATTAGTTTGACAGAATTGACACTTATTTAAAATTTTACAATAATAGTCTTAGAACATATATAGTCAGGAAGGAGCATGCCATGTCCGCGTTAATCTAATCGATCTGACGGAAGTGGTAGCCATGTTGTACTATGGATAACTCATCATCATATGATAAATGGTTTCTAAATTTGGTTTATAATTTTAGTGATTAAAATTTGTTAATAATTTGGATATTTTATTTGTTAATTTAAACTTTTATCAAGCGTATATTTTGTAGACATTTCTAAAAAGTGTTTAGTGTTTTAGTATTTATTTAGTATTACTGTTAGTTTTAAATTTTCCGCATTAAAAGACAAACAAGACAATATGGTCAGTTGTTCGTCTTGTGGATATAGCAGCACAGCTAAAAGTAGAAAGGAATAATCTACATTTCATAAGCAAGTATTTTGTTCTCTCAATTTTCAACCACATTACAGATTTTTTAAAATTTTTAATGTTTTAAATTTGTAAACAAACATGGTAAGTGCGTCTGCAATCAACTGTGCTCATAGGCGTAGTCTCATGGTTTATAGGGTATACATACTTTTATTTAAACATATCTTTTATGCAATTTTAAGATATTTATGTGGTTGTTAAAATGAATAAATTATTGTTCAATTTAGATTTATAAATTGATTGCAAGTAAACAATTTTCAGATTTCTTAAAGATTTTAGATTTACAAATTACCTATATAAATTAATCCCAGGTAGACAATTTTCAGATTTCCTAAAGATTCTCAAAAAACAAAGTTATGGCTTGAGTTCATGCAACAAACAAATTGTGAGCCAAAATATCTTAATTTTTTGTGTTCACACCATTTTAAAGCAGATTGTTTTGATCGAACCTCAAAACCAATAATAAGAC